TAATTGAAATGCATATAACTAGTTTTAACGGCAGTGCATAATTCAAAGGATTTCATAAATTACCCTACTGGCGTCCCAAGTAGGTCACCTATATACCCCATCAGCGTCCTGATGGGTCCACTTAATCCCTATCGTCGTCCCAGATAGGTCCACTTAATCCCTGTAGGTCCACTTATACCTCACCGGGGTACCGGATGAGTCCACTTAATCCCTACCGGCGTACTGATAGGTCCACTCACAAATTCGACCTTTGAATCTTAGCAAATCCTCACTACATATAGAGAATTCGTCTCTCTTTCTTAGCTTCACCTCTTCTACAATTGTTATAAGCTGAGGGTCTTTCTTTTGTACGGATTCGCACGACGTACACTTTGGATCGACTGGCCCAGTTGTACATTAAGGAAATAGTGCGGTTGCATGGAGTTCCGGTCAGTATTGTATCGAACAGGGATACTCGGTTTACCTCTAAATTTTGGGCTAGGCTACAGTTAGCCATGGGGACGAAACTCACCTTTAGCATTGCCTTTTAACCCCAAACTGATGGACAATCGGAGAGGACCATCAAAACCTTGGAAGATATGCTGAGGGCCTGTGTCATTGACTTTACAGGAAATTGGGATGAGCATTTACCCCTGATTGAGTTTGCTTATAATAATAGCTTCCAAGCCAGTATTCATATGGTACCATATGAAGATGAGGTTGGTGAAAGAAAGCTTTTGGGGCCAGAAATTGTCCAGATAACCACAGATTAGATAACATTAATTCTAGAAAGGCTCAAGATAGCTCAGAGTCGGCAAAGAGTTATGCCGATAATCGAAGGAGAGATCTTGAATTTGAGGAAGGTGATCGAGTTTTCCTTAAAATCTCACCAATAAAAGGCATTATGAGATTCGACAAGAAAGGAAAGCTGAGCCCACGTTACATCGGACTATTTGAAATCCTGGAAAGAATCGGAGGTGTCGCTTATAGACTTGCTTTACCACCCGAATTGGCAAACGTCCATAATATCTTCCATGTATCATCACTACGAAAATATCAGCCCGACCCATCCCATATCTTGAAATATGAACCCTTACTGATCAGGAAGGACCTATCCTTCATTGAGCAGCCAATTTTGATACTGGATAGAAGGGTACAAGTGTTGCACAACAAGGAGATTCCTTTGGTCCTTATATTATGGCAGTACCATTCAAGAGAGGAGTCGACTTGGGAACGAGAAGACGACATCAGAGAAAAATATCCCTATCTTTTTCAATAATCAGGTACAAAAATTTAGATGATTAAATTTCTTCAAGGGGGGAAGAATGTAATAATCCTAAAATTTCAAAAAAAAAGAAAAGAAAAGGGAAACTTTTAATAAGTGATGGTCCATATGAGCATGATGGTCCTTAGGGACCATCACTACTTTCAAAAGCTTTTGGTTTAAGTTTTTGCTGCCTTGCCACGTCCTTTAGTGGACGTGGGCTTTAAACGTTCAGGTATAATATAATTGTTACACCTCATGTATGAGGTGTAACTTAATAAGATAATATAATAAGGTATCTTAAGAATTTAAATAGGAGAGGCGTGTACTCCCACCCTAGAAAATTTTTGAGATCTTTCTCTCTCTAGTCGAAACGCAGTGAGCTATCTCTCTCTTTAGCTGAATTTTTATCAAAAGCTCCCTCTCAAATATTTTAGGTAAGTGACTTCATTATCTTGAAAAATAATCCGTTCTTTTTAAAAATGAAATGAAATAGTTACTTCTGCTTATTATCATGAATTTTAGGCGCGATAAATTTTATGCGCAAGCAACCTCATTATTTTGAAAAATAATCTTTTTAATAAAATTGTGATATTTTATATATGTTAAAAATCTTAAATGCTGTAAATTCTTAGAAAAATAAATTTATTTATTTATCTTGTCTATTGTTAGAAAATTTTAGATACTGTAAAATTATTAAAAATAAATGTGATATTTCTGCTTTTAGTAAAATTGTGAGATTTCTTTCTATTGTTTTTGAATATTTAGACTTTGTAAATTTCATGTGCAAATGACTGCCTCATTATTTGAAAACTGATATTTTTGCAATTGATTATAGCATTGTCTGTGAAATGTTTATTTACAAATTAACATCCCATAAATTGTGATAATTCCGTATTCTTGAATTTCTATAAGAGTTTTTCTAACATATTAGATTGGAAATTATGCTAGAATGTCTTTACGAACTGCTAGCTTTCTAAATTTGAACCCAAAATATTTGACTGGTTACTTTTGAAATGTTATTGAAAGTGACTTTTATTAATGGTTTCAGTGAAATTCATATTAATAATTTCAGTGATATGTTGAGTGCATGATATTGCTGCTTTCGAATGTTTAAAGAGATTTAGAAATACTTTAAGTATGCAAGTGGACTCATTCGGCTCGTCGGTGAGGTATAAGTGGACCTATTCGGTACGCCGGTAGGGATTAAGTGGACTCATCCAGTACGCCGGTGAGGTATAAGTGGACCTGCAGGGATTAAGTGGACCTATCTGAGACGTCGATCAGGATTAAGTGGACCCATCGGGGCGCTGATGGGGTATATAGGGTAATTTGTGAAATCCTTTGAATTATGCACTGCCGTTAAAATGTTATATGCATTTCAATTATTCAGATGATACTTAATTATGCATTTTTGAAAGTGAAACTGTTAATGCATTTTTGTTAATAGATCTTCTTTTTGAAAATATTGATATCTTTCAACCATGATTATTTTTAGGATTATGATGATCACTTACTGAGTAGCCAAACTCATCAAATTATGGTAAACATTTTTTTCAAGATAACTGCGGTTTTATTTTGAGTGCTCGTCAGGATCAACTCTGGAAGATATTGTAGTCGTGCTTAAACTTTCTTTTGTTACTTTGTAAGAATTCACCACTGTAAATTTGTCCTATCAAGAGATGTATATATGTTTTGACTGTCACATCTCAGGAATATTAGTATTGTAAATTCTTGCTGCGTGACAACATAGCTTTGCATTCTTTTGATGGCTTGTTTGTTTCAAGGACCTTTGTAACAAACTGTGCATAGCTAGTTACAGAATTTGATATGAAGTGTGCTTGTGAAAGGGAAAAGCACAGTCAAAGAGGAGTAGGTGGGTTTTGTGGAGAAGACAACTCAAGTCATTCTCATTCCTAAGAAAGGTATTTATATAGGTCCCATTTGGAAGGCTGAATGTTTCCAATAAGCATGGGAGTAATTTATGAATGGGAAAAAACCTTTTTTTTTTCCTTTTATTTTTGTACTCGGTTAGGGGCATTTTGATGGTGTTTTGTTGATAAGCAGGTTACAAAATTCTGTATCCCTAGAATAGTGGAGTGGACCAAACTGAGCCATTTTTCACTCCTAAATTGGAGGGAAAAAGAATAACGTTTCCCAAAACTTGATTTGTCCAAATGGGCCATATGGTACAATTAGGCCTGTTAGCCCCCCTTATTAATAGAAAATAATAGTTCTAGCCCAAACTAGGTACCAGGAACCTAGGCATGTTCGTAATTGCCCTCTCAAATACAAAAAGGTAATGTGTCTTTAATCAATAATTAAATTCCTGATTCACCCTGATTTACAACCATAGAAATATTACATCACTCCCACCCTCTCCCCTCCCATATCTGATGTGGCCATGTGCAGAGCATCAGTTAATTCACTAGTTAGGCACAACGTTGGTGAGTCATGGCCTTTGTGAAGAGGTATTTTGTTCTTGTAGACTCTCAATTCCTCTTGATCATTTGATATAGTCTGTTGTTAGGTTACTTCGTCATACATCTGTTTTATAGCCCTCCATGCTGATCCTTCTTGGTCCTTCACCCAGGCCGTTCAACTTTCATGGTGGCATCGAGCTATGCAAGAGGACCTTGCAAGTCTTGATTTTAATAACACTTGTACTCCAGTTTCTTTGCTTATTGGGAAGCAATCCATTGGCTGCAAATGAACTTATAAGTTCAAGCAAATGTTTGATGGTACGCATGACAGAAACAGGCGCATCTATTGCCACAGTATGCGTGGGGTTTGACTCTGATGAAACAATTGCGCCTGTGGCAAAGTTGATTATGCTTTGTACCTTGCTGGCTCTCATTACTGCTCAAGAGTGGACAGTGAGGCAGATGTTGTTAAAGAATGCTTTCGGAATGCTGATTTATGGAAAGCTGTATCCATGAGGCAACCACAAGGCTACACTTCTCTTGTTTTCACCTTTGGCATGCAAACTTTGTGAGGTACTTTATGGTCTCAGGCAGGCACCTTGGGCACGGTTTGATAAGCTTTGCTACATTATCTACTCTAATGTAGTGACACATGGTGGTTTGCATCCTGCTTATTCATATGAAACTCTAAGCATGATATTTGCATGCTTCTAGTGTATTGATGGTATCTTAGTTTCAGGCATTGATATCCATGGCAGTAACAATGTGAAAGCGCAACTTCAGGGCTAATTTAAATGGAGGATGGTAGTTTTCTACTTTCTTTGTCTTGAGATTTTGGTAGCGCTCAGGTTCTAGACTCACAATCTTGCCTGCTTTACCTGCCTTCTTGAACAGAAGAGCATAGATACCTTGGAGTTGAATGTGAAACAATTTTGCCACAATGATGACCCTATTCTTGATGCTACCACCTATCATCAACTTGTGGGCTCCCTTGTGTACCTTACCACAAATGACCTGACATCGCACATTTCTACACATTGTCAGTCAGTTCGGGTCTCTGATCCGCACCATCCACATATTGCTGTCCTTCAGTGGGTTGTCTCATACATTTCTGAGGCAATTTGTCAGGGATGATCATAAGTTTATGACTTTCTGCTACATATTTCTCGACTTGTCTCTCATCTCTAGGAAATCAAGAAAATGCTGGTGGCTCCTAGCAAAAAATTTCCTCACCTTTTCTAGTACTTTACTTTGTAGACAAACACACATGCTTTCCTGAGTGGGTGTTTTTGTTTCTTTCTTTGTTGATAAGCATTGATAGATATACATGTATGCTCCTTCCATTTGTTGCTTATGGTTATGCTTGGGTTTTGTTCATGAGATAACTTTTATTGAAGTTAAGGATTATTTTGTTAGAGGTACTTAAGAAGGCCAAAGCCCAAATAAGTACTCTTAGGGATCTTTATCAGAGACTTGCGGGGATTCTACGTGAGTGCCCCGGCCAATATTATAGGTAACTGTTGATATTGGTTTCCATTGCTCTTATCTTTCTCTGTGTAGTTCTCGGGTTATCTTTTGGTTCTTTTGTTGGCCAGATAGTGTTTTAAAATGCAGTCTCATCAAGCGGTATGCGGTGGGCACCGCATCGGGAAAGACTGCATATGCGGTTTGGAGGTATGCAGGCGCATATGTGCCATATCAGAGCTGCATAGCGCATCCGATCGCATACTGTTGCGCGATGTTATTTGCGATTGCGCCCCTTGGGGATGGGTAAAATGGTCTTTTTGACCATAAAAAATTGGGGGAAATAGTTTGGGGGGTATGAAACCCCCTAAGCGAGCATTTACAGCCACTTTTGTGGCTTTTTTAGGATCAAATTAATCAAAAAAAAAAAAGGCAGAAATTGTTTTTCATTGAGATCTTGGATTTGGGGATTGTTTGATAATTGGATCTTGATTTGAACCTTTTGGTTGTTGATTTGGGGAAGTTTTGATGAATTTGTGACAAGAAATCGGGGGTTTCAAAGGCCGTGAAAAAATTGACTTCAAAATTATCTCTCAAGATGACTTTTATGATGAATGGATGATTGTATTAACGATTAACTCTTCTTGAGCTTGACTTCAAAACTCTTTAATCTTCATGGAGACATGCTTTTTGGTTTGTAGTATCACTATTTTGTAACTTTAAAGTTTGTGGTTGCAAATTTGTGCTTATGGTTGTTGATTGTTGAATGTTTTATGAAGCTAGTTTCAAGTTTCTAGTTTCTATCAGGGGATGGTGGATACAGAATCTTCGACAGCTAATATTTTTGTAGTTAATGAGTAAACTAAAATACCTACTATCACATATATCACCTCCATATTTTTTTTCTATGTATTAACCTACTGTTTTAGATTTTTTAGAATTTTTTTATATTTATTAACCGCATCGTCTCGATGCACCTGCATCCGGACCGCATTGAGCCGCATCGTCGCATCGCCCCCCTCACCGCTTTTGGCCGCGTCCCGCATTTTAAAACACTGTGGCCCGAAGATATGTAATGCAAAAGGGTTCAATGTTCAGTCATGGGTAAAAAATGTAGCTTTGAATGACTTCTTATTTGAAACAATCGACCCCAGAGAAGGATACGGAAGACATCAGGTGAACTATGGTACCATCAAGCATTCAAGATACCAGACACCATCAGGCATTCAAGACCCACCCACCAGAGCATTCACTTCCCGCCCACCATCACCAGCCACCACCTTACTGCACGTGTTGGGAGATGAATACAATATTACTCCCATTGACCTTGACATATATACAATAGTCCTCTTGGTTAAGTACAAAACCACCTTTTGACAATGTTCCTTGAAACTTGCGTACCACTACCTTGAGGCTTGCTTAAAGCCATAAAGGGATTTCTAAAATTTATACACTAGGTTTTTCTTTCCCTTCTCTTTGAAGCTCTATGGTTTTTAAATGTAAATATCTTGTTCTTACTCCCAATTTAGAAATGCATTCTTAACATCAATTTGGTGGAGTTCAAAGTCGAAATGAGCTGCTATAGCTATAAGGATCCTGATGGATGGTAACTTAGCTATAGGGGAGAAGGTTTCATCATAATCTATTTATTCTTTCTGACCAAACCACTTGGCTTGTAATCTAGCTTTATAATTCTCTAATTTCCCTTCCAAGTTCAGTTGCATTTTAAAGATCCATTTGCAGCCTTTGGGGACATAGGTTCACTGAGTCCCAACTTGGTTATGTTTGAATGAGTTAATTTCATCAATCATGGCTTCTCCCCATTGTGTCTTTTTTGAACAGGTAATAGCCTCTTGGTAGGAACGAGGTTCATGTAAGGATTCTTCTTCAGCTCTCTCATAATATTCTCTTTCGGAAGGTGAAGTTATCAGGTCTTCACCAAATTTTGTTACTTCTCTTAGGATGAGGTGGTTCGCGATCCTGGGCTTATGTCGCGTCACTCATTATCTCATAGAAATCAGCTTGTTTGTGAGTGGCTCATCCTTCAAAGAACTCATCCTCAAGGAAATGGGCATCCCTACTTTCGAGAACAACACATGTCAGGGTTGTAAAACTGGTGTCCCTTACCATGTGGTGGGTATCCTATGAAGATGCACTTAACGGTCTTGTGTTATGATTTTGTCCTATTCTGATGAGGTATTAGGACTTGAATAGAGCATCCCTATACTTTTAGGGGGTCAAGGGACGGAGCACGACTTGTGAAAATCTCATGAGGAGTTGGTAGGACAACCTTTATGGGAGTCTAATTAATAATGTAACTGGTTGTCAAAACTGCCTTTGTCTAAAAATCTAGGAAGAGAATAGCAATACCATCATGCTCCTCACCATTTCTATCAAAGTCTTATTGCGTCTCTTGTCTATCTCATTTTGTTGGGGAGTGTAGTGTATAATATATTGGTGTATGATACCATGCTAGGTATAGAATTTGTTAAATAGTGGTAAGGAATATTCTTCACCTCTAACGGTTCTAAGCACTTTTATTTTCTGGTTTGTTTGGGTTTCTACCTCATCTTTGTATTCTTTGAAACAGTCAAAGGCTTTTGACTTTACTCATTGTAAATATACATGGCCCAAAAGGGGAGTTGTCATCAATGAAAGTGATAAAGTACCTCTTCTGACCCTTAGTGACCTCATTTATATGTCCACAACTCTCACTATGGAGTTCTTCTAAAAAGCTAAGCTTTTGTATAGGATTTCTTAACCAACTTTCCTTGAACACATGATTCACAAACTTTGGTTAAGTCTCCATTCAAGTTTTTCAGTAGTCCTTCTCTCTTTAATCTCTCCATTTTCTTATGATTTATGTTCCTCAATCTCATATGCCATATGAATGAATCATCATCATTATAACACAAGGTATTAGATATAGACTCCTTTACTGCAACTGAAAAGGATCTGTTTATCTTGTAGACCATTCATGACTAATTCTTTCTCTAATTTCACTTCCACCTTTTTGCCAGTAAAAATGGTGGGGTATCCTGCCTTAACTAACCTAGAGATTGAAACCAAACTCCATCTTTGGAGCATAACAAGTTTGCCTTAGGACCGTGCTCTTTCCATTTTCTAGCTTAAGAATATAATCTCCAATATCCAAAATCTCGGTCTTGTGATTTCCACCCATGAAGATATGCTAGTACCCCTAGGCAATAGGCGTGAAGTTTCTAAAGCCATCCTTGGTATTAGATACATGGGCAGTGTACCTTGAGTTGCCTTTTTTTAGAATGAGCTGGGCATGCCCTCTATGATATCTGTGGATGGTGTGCCACCCCAAGCTCCCTACGGTGGTGCATGCCACCCCCTTGGACCTAGAGAGGAGAGAGAGGGATAGAGAGGGGCCCGTGGAGATAAAGGCTGGAAAATTTCAGATGAATGAGAATGAGGGGGGTCTGCCCTCTATTTATAGCCTTCAAAAGGGTCTAGGTATGCCTATCGGATTTAGAATTAATCTTAGCCATGGGACTCCTAGCTAATATGAGAGGTGAAAGAGAAATAAATCTGAGCCATCAATCCCATGAATCAGCCATCATGATTAAGAGAGGAATCTAGAAAGCTTATCCTCTGAATCCCCATCCACTTCTAGTCAACCTGTGGTAAGACCAATAAACCACACACCTTCTATTTTGGCTAGAAATTCCTTTTCTCTCACAAAAGATTGTAGGAACTCAAAGCCAAAAAGATTTGGTTAAAATATTCTCTACTACTACAAAATATGGACACAATCTTTTTCAAAGATCGCATTAGGTTTCCTTCTTTAATAAAACATTTTTATTAAAAGACAGCTTAAATCATTAACAAAAATGCAAAAAACATGCGTCCTCACTAGGTTAGACGTGTGGGCCATGCAAGCCCCATAGCCCACACCCCTGTGGAGCTGCCACCTTGTGGTGTTGGGGCCTTGGCCCCCCACTAGGTCCCTTAATGCCTCAGAGATATTTGAAAATTATGAAAACACCCTGTTAGGGTTTTTAATTGTTGAAAATGACTTTAAACTTTCTTAAAAATGTCTAAAAATCATAAAATCATTTCTTAAGCAGAACCAAATTTTCAGG